CTCCCCTGCCTCTCCCCACCAGTCTCCGCTAGCCCATTGCCACTTGGCATCTCGAGGTGTTGTGGCCCGGTGCCCTGTGTGAGGTCGCCCCTGGGCAGTGGCAGTGCTCGCCTGGCGTGTGCCAGGTTGGCCCCTTCAGGAGAGCCGTGCTCAGAACCGGGTCAGCGCCCCGCTCCCCTGGGGCTGCCCTCCGGGAGACACTCAGCATCCCTCAGGCAGTCGTCGGAGCAGTGGAACATCAGCCTGCCCACTTGTTTTTTTGGAGGGGTGGAGGGTGATGGAGACTGGGATGTGCGAACTGGGGTTTTCCCCTCCTGCACACACCGCTGGGTTTGGGCTGATGATTTTTTGCCGTGCTTTTTGACGTTGCGCTGCTCCACTAAGAAGTGAGATTTTTTTTTTTTTTACTTTTTGCTGTCCAAATCCAAATTTTGCAGACTGGGCCATCTGTCAATTCCCTCCTACGTTGTTCTGTTCATATTAAATTGTAATGAAGGCCAGACTGAAGAAGGAATTAGGTCAGACTGGAGGTTTAGTCTCCGTTTTTGGGGAGATGTTTGTTGCCCAAGAGAGGCACCGTGGTTTGGTTGGCTCAGCTCGAGCCTGGATGCAAGGGATGCCGGAGCTGTCCTCCGAGATTTGACTACAGGGCCCTGTAGCACATTATGGCCTCTTGGCCCCCGACTCCCCAGCAGCTGGACAGAAATCGTCGATCCAATTGATTCTGCAGCAAATCCTGAAAAAATCCTTTAATGACCTCGGGCGGGAGGGTGGCTCCACTGCAGACCTGCCCCTGGGCTTGCTCCCAGCACATCGCAGCCACCTCGAGAGGACCCTCTCTGTTGACGTGTCGTCGCTGACTGGGGGCTGCTGAGAGGTTTTTTTGGGTCCCCAGCCACGGGTGCAGCAGCCTGTGCTGTGAGGGGGGAATACGCACAAGTCTCAAGGCAGCCAGGAGCATCCCGCGTGCGGCGGCTCGCAGCTGAGCTGGTTCCAGCAGCAGCCTGGCTTTGCGCAGGGATCTGGGGATGCGGAGGAAGGCAGGAGAGGGACATAAAGGATAGAGAGCAAAGCAGACCCTCTCCAGGCGTGGAGAAGTCAGCGTCGTGCTCTGATGGCTTGTCTGAGCCCCTCCCGCAGCGAGAAGGCTGCTCTGAGGTGCGATTCCCAGGGTGGTACAGGGCACTTGTGCAACCAAGAAGTTCCTCTTGCATCACCCCCTGGCACACCGCGTGGGGTCCGAGCCCTTGTTAGGAGGAATTCAGCACTCAGGTTCTTGGGCACCCGGCATGTCTCGCACTCGCAGCCCCTGGTTAGAGCCACGTCCTGAAGCATTTGAGCTCTCTGTGGGTACGTGGCGGGGAAATGGCAGCCAGCATCGCTGATTCAACCCGCTTTGGTGAGAATGAACCTTTCTTGGGTGTAGCCTCTCTCCTGGTGGATGGAGGACTGTGTCCTTTAGGAGAGCGCTCCTCTTACCCATCACTGCCTTATTTCTGTTACCTCTCGCGTGAGAGAGGCTTTCTAATAAAAAATGAAGGGTTTTCCAGCCGTCGGTGTGAATTTGCTCCTGTCCCACAGCTGAGGATTCTGTCCCTGTCCTAACACTTGGAATAGAAACCAAAAGCAGTGCTGTCCTGTGTCTCCAGTGGAGATTGAAGGCTCAGAGGGGTTCATAGGGCATCAGCTCAGGATGCTGAGCTGGATTTGGCCATGACAACTGAAGCCATGTGCAACCTGGGCAGCTGGTGTGGTGCTTGCACTGGGTTGTGGGCTGTGGATATGTTCTGCCACCCTGTTTTGGGGAGCAGCGCCTGCTCCAGCAGCTGTGGTGGGGCAAGTGTGAGCTCTTCTGCATGGGTGCTGCTCAGTCCTGCTAAGGAGGAGTGGAAGGGAGGAAGGATTGATCGAAAGTAAGAAAAGCTGGAGAGGGACTTTTTACAAGGGTATATAGTGGTAAGACAAGGGGCAATGGATTTAGACTGAAAGAGGGTGGATTTAGATTAGGTATAAGGAAGAAATTTTTCACTCTGAGGGTGGTGAGGCACTGGAACAGGTTGCCCGGAGAAGTTGTGGATGCCCCATCCCTGGAAGAGTTCAAGGCCAGGTTGGATGAGGTTTTGAGCAGCCTGATCTAGGGGAAGGTGTCCCTGCCCATGGCAGGGGGGTTGGAACGAGATGATCTTTGAGGTCCCTTCCAACCTAAACCATTCTGTGATTCTATGATTCTATGATTCTATGAAAGGTCATTGGGATGCACTGCATCGGTGATGGCACCCCAGGAGCCTGTCTAGCCTTTGGGTGAAGCCTGGGGGCTTTTACTCTGCAGGGTCAGTAGGGCCAAAGTGAGATGGAAGGGCTTACAGGGTTGGGTTGAGTTGCGGCTCCATCAAGCTGGAGAGAAACTGCTGCACCGGGTAGTAAATAAAGATGCTTTTTGCTTTGCTGCCCAGTTTCTCATTACACGGCTGCTGGAGGGAGAAGGGAGACGCCAAGGTGACAGCGGTGGAAAGGGCTGGTGGTCAATGCACGAGCAAAGCGGGACTTCATCATATCGCGCACCTCCACGTTAGCCCTGGATGACGGCACTGGGGCAGTCCCTGTCCTCGCGGCTTCAGGGGGGCTTCCTGGCTGGAATTATGGGGTGTGTGAGCACCCAACAAGAGCTCACAGTGGAGGCAGGGAGGGCAGCCAGGGGCTGCCTCGTGCTTGCAGTGCGGGTTGCGCAGGGGTGGGTATTTTCTGAGGAGCACAAGTTTTTTTCCACAGAAGGTATCAGGTCTCCCCAGCATCAGATATCGCCCTGCCGACAAAACCTCACTCTCTCCTTGCTTCAGAGCATCTCAACCCTTTCCTTAGACAGAATGCAGAGGAAAAGCTGCATTTGTCACCCATGCCACTGAGGAAGCCCCTTCTAGGGGATCAGCTCTGGCTTGGGGGAGGCCAGTGCACAGCCTGCTCATTAGCCATGGCACTTGCAGCCAGCGTGAGC